AGGCAGCAGGAGGCAAAGTTAAATGTTTGGTACAATACAGCTGGAAGTCACTTGGTGTTTGGGAGGAGGGGAAGAAGAGTTTTGAAGGCTCTTTCCTCTGTGCCCTCCCAGGCCATGTAAGGTGCTGTGTGTGGCCAGTGGGACACAGGAGCTCAGCACAGCCGCAGGTCTGTCAGCACTTCTATTGTCGTGGCCTTTGCAGGGTGTCTGACACTTCTGGCTTAATTTTGCTGAGGGCTGTAACTCTGGCAAAATTTGAACTCCTTTCAGCTCCTAGTCGGGAGGTTTTAAATCCTCCTAATTTGTTCTTTACAGAAAAAGATTAAGTATTTCCTGTCTAGCAAGCGTGTGGAGATCATTCCAGCTCTTTAGTGATTTTTAATAGTAGAGACAATGATCTAATTAACTTCCTTTTATAAAATTCTTGCTTCACGTCCACTTCCTAAGAGCAGATCCCTTGCACAGCCCTGTTGACCATGGATGTGTGTTCCTGCCCACTCGGGTATTTCCAAGGGTCCCAGGTGACACTTCAAATGGTGACAGAGGCTGAGTCAGCCTTTCCTTGAGGTGAATCATCTCAGATGTTGGTGTTTCACCTGGTATTCCTACAAGTGGGAGCTGGGAGCTCCTGCCTGCACTGATGGCCATGCTGAGAGAACCTGTGGCAACCAAATTCAGCAGTGGTTTTCTTGCAGATGGTGGAGGAGGGGATCCTTTGCACTGCAGTATTGACAAGCACATGAGGATACTAAATGCTCTCCACCGTTTAAGAGGCTGGGGTAGGGAGAAAATGACATTTTTTGGTGCTCAGGATCAAGCCAACCCTGTTTGTTTTTCACCTGCTCTGTTTCTGTGCTGTGCTGAAAGATCCATAGCCCCTGCTCTTTATAACCACAGCCTGCACATTTTCCTTCCCCCTCCTTCTCCTTGGAGAGCAGCCAGATCAAAATGGCTGTGATCCAACGCCAAGAATCACTCCCTTTGCTATGGAAATGAGGACTTGGAGGCTGCTCACCATGTGTTCATCAGAGAGTTCCTGCTAAGGATGATGAGCTGTAGGTGGGGAAGAGGGCAGCGAAGGTGTGCTTGAACAAATCCGCTTGGAACAAATAAGGATATTTTTGGACACATCTGACTCTTTGCATTTTTTAAAGTAATTTATAGAAAATTAAAAAAAAAAAAATTACCCTTTAAATCAAATGGTAGAAATGAAGGAAATAAGGTGGTAGAATTTCACTGCGGGTTTAAGAGTGTTTCTCTTCTGTTGGAGTGGACAGGGTGGCAGACCTCCCAGTACCTGATATTTGAGAGAAGCATTTTTTGGTGGTGTTTTGGTATTGACCAAGCGAAGGAAAGATAAACTTATCCAAGCTATACAAATTAATCCTTCTCCTTAGCTATCATATCCACATTCCCAGCATTAAAACAGACAAATTGCAAAAGCCCTGGGCATGGGATACACTGACACGGGGCCACTGGCTGCGCGTCAGCTCAGCAAGGCAGGTTTAAACCGTCTTCTAAACCATCAGATTTTAATCTCCATGCACAGTGGGATGGGAACATTGCCAGGGGGTGAGCAGTTATGAAAACTGACTGTGTGCAAAAAGCAGGGGACTCTTCTCTTCTCTTAGATGAGTTACACATCCTGGGCAGGTGGGTGAGGAGGGTTTTGCTGTGAGGTGTGTTTTTAAGAGGGAAGGGGCTGTGGCTGTTTGCAGGCTTCCTGCAGTGCTGCAGCACGTTGGGTTTTGCAAGAACATCTCTGCTTCTTCAGGGTGGCTTGGTGTCACCTTGGGTGCCAGCGAGGGATAGAGGTGGCTGGGATGGAGGGAGGAAGGGTGTGATGCTGCTCCTGCAGGACTTGGCAGCATGGAATGGATGCAAAGGTCTGGGCAGCACCCAACAGGGCACGGCTGGGAGGAGCCCTCTCAGGTTGAAAATGTCAGACAGGTCTCTGAGCCTACACAGTAAATTAGTAACTGGGTGTGGAACTGCATTTTTTAATGATGTATCTTAATTGGGCCTTGGGTAGGTTGATAGAGTTGAGTGTGCTTCTTGTCATTCGGGGATCTGTGAGTTGAAATTCACCTTTTCTTTGTGTGTGATTCAGTGGGGCTGGGGCTCATGCTCTGGATCCACCCAGGGAAGGAGGCTGGTGCTCCAGGATGGAGCCGTGTCCTGCCTCAGCCACCCATGCTGGGCACAGCCACAGCCACACCAACCCCCCCGGGAGGCCACCGAGCCACTGGTGCTGGCACCACTCCACCTGGAGCCACGACACACCATCTGCTCCAGCAGAGCTTCCTCCATCCATTTTGGATCACTTCCTCTGCCTGAAAACAAAGCAAAAACCCACCTCGCACCGTGAGTTCAGCAGTCGTATTTGCCCCCCTCACTCCCCCCAAAATGGGTGCACGTCCCTGCCAGGTGATTAATGATCTGTCCTGTGTGTGTATAATGGTTTGCTCTTAATATTTCATAGTCCTGTGGCATGAAAGGCACTGCCCTGTGGCTGCAGCTGAACGTGAACTGGGGTGTCCTGGTGCATTACGAGGGTGAAAAGAAAGGGGTGGGTGGTTGTTGCACCTTTTCCTGCTGGCTGGGGCTGGGGAGCAGCTCCTGGTTGGTGACTTCCCGTTGCACTTCTCCGTCACGGGGTGTGTCCAGCATGGAATAGGCCCTTTATTCCTGCCGGAAGTTGAAATAGTTGGCAGAAAACGTAGCGTGCAGTTCCATGAACTGATGTTAAGCAGGGAGGAAGCCTGAGTTCATCTGGAATATGATGGTAATCCTCAAGAATTTATAGATAGCTCTTTGCACAGGGACATCTTGCACACCCCAGTCATTCACAGAATTTTGCATTTAAAAATGATACCTGTTTTGTGTGTTTAGTTTGTGTTTGATTTTTTCTTAAACTGCGCAAGTTTGTAATAAAATGCCGATTGTGACACTTCTGTAGCTCTGAAATGACCAAGTTAACTGGGTAGATTTCACAGGCCACCAGCACAGAACTGGTGCCATGAGAAAGGCTGCAGGGAAAGCCCAGCTTCTCTCCATGGCTGGGAGTAAAAGCAGAGCCCCTCACACCCGTGTCACCAGGTCGGTGGTGGCCAAAAGCCATTACCAGCTGCATGGCCTGTGTGAAGGGGCTTGCTGGCCTTCACCTCACATCTGGGGACAGCTGTTTCCATCACAAACCCATCCTGTAATTGGTGCATTTATTAAGCTGTTTTTTCCCCCGGGGAGTGACTCGCTGTGACCCTTGGTCGGGCTTTGCCCTTTCCATGACACTGGTGACACTGATGGCACTTTAACCTTGACAGCAGGTCTGTGCTGGCAGCAGCTGCCCAGATGGGTGTGGAGATGGCCAGTGCCAATTCCCACAGGCTTCAAGCTGGAGGTGGTCAGGAGGAGCTGGTGGAAAACAAATCCTCTGATTATTTTTTCTTATCTATGTGGAAACCCGAGAAGTTCCCTCCACAGTTGTCTGATATGTTAATTGTAACATTTTTCTCTTCAGCCATACTACATGACTGCTTATTTCCCAGCTCTGATGAGTCTCTTCTCTAGTTATTCAGCTTGTTTGTAGCTGTTGATTTGTTTTTCTAAAAAAGCCTGGGAGACTACAGAACAGCTCTCCTTCTGAAGTCTGTTTTTTCCCCTACGCTTTCACACGAAGCTTTTCCAGTTTGAGACAAAATGTCCAACCCTTTATCATTTTTGCTGCAGACAAGTTGAGCTGGAGCCACATTCAGAGTCTCTCACTGAACAGCACTAGGCTGGTGGCTCTGGAACAAGAAGCTCTTGAAGCTTGAACAATTTTTCCCAGCCTCCATATGTGCTTGGGGACCTACTGGGAAGCAAGATAGGAGGTGGACTCTGCTTATTTTTAATTTTTTAGGAGTTTTTTTTTTTTTTTTTGCTTTCCCCAGAGGCTGGAGCAGAAATCTTTTTCTCATATGTAAAAGCAGGATGCTGTATGGAGGCTCCTTGTTCTCCCACAAGGAAAAATCCTGGTACAATGGGAAAAGCCCTTTGTGACTGTCCCACCCTCCACATATCCAACCTTATGGACCCCTCACATCTGCTCCGTAAGGCTGGATATGTGGAGGGCAGGACAGTCAGTTGCTTCCAGGGTTGGTGTTTGCATCCAGTTTCATGCCCATGTCTTCTTCCAGGCCTCAGATGCTGGAATTTTCCTCACCAGTCCCTTTCCCTCTAATCTAACTCAAGCCGTCCTGAAAATTCTTTCTCTGAAGCACTACAGACACACTAAGTTAATTTGAGTCATTAGCTTGTTTCCATTACTCCTGTCTGCCTAGGAGACTTAATTTTATTATTATTTTATTATTTTTTTTTCCCTTTAGTGAGATTTTGGAGTTAGAAGAAAGGAGTGGAAGCTAGGGAACATGTGGAACCACTTCACAGGAACACCGGATTTTGAGAGCTTGCATTTTTATTTACATCTTCGGGTCCCTGTCTGACTTGAAAGTAAACAAGTTCAATCTGAGACTGGATTTATCCCCGAAAATATGTGGAGACTTGTCTAAAAAACTGCTTTTAGGATTAGGAACTTCCTTTACTACAGTAAGAGCATGCATGTACAACAGGAAAACTGGTGCTCAACTGGCAAATTCTTTGTGTGAAGCACCCTTGGAAATGCAGTTCAGTTGTGTTTGGTAGAAAACAGCCTGAAACTTTTTTTCTTTTTAATTAAAAAAAGAAAAAGGGGAAATTAGATGATAACTTAGCAGGTCTCAGGCAAGGTGCAGGAATAGTGAGTGAAACTGTGTTTCTGCGTTGCTGGAAGTGGGGTTGGCTGCAGATGAGAGGGTCCTGTGGAGGTCCTTGGGCAGAACCAGGAGGCCCTTGGGCAGAACCAGGAGGCCCTTGGGCAGAACCAGGAGGCCCTTGGGCAGAACCAGGAGGTCCTTGGGCAAACCAGGAGGTCCCTGCGCCTGTAACTGATCTCCTTCTCTTGACGTTCCTCTTCCCTGCAGACACAATGAGGCGAGTGGTACGACAGAGCAAATTTCGGCACGTGTTTGGCCAAGCGGTGAAAAACGATCAGTGTTACGACGACATCCGCGTGTCCCGCGTTACTTGGGATAGCTCCTTTTGTGCTGTAAACCCCCGGTTTGTTGCAATAATTGTAGATGCTAGCGGTGGCGGAGCCTTCCTGGTGCTGCCTTTGCACAAGGTAAGTGCTTTCTGAAAGTTTCTCGCTCAGCTTTGTTGTCGTTTCGGCTCCTGTTTGTGAGTCACGTGAAGGCTGGGAAGTCTCTGCTGTGTTGTGACAAGGGTTGCTCAGTCGTGCCATGTGAGAACCCATTTTGTGTCCCTGTAATCAGTGTGATGCTTCCTGGACATTAAACACGGTAAATAAGTGGTTTGCTTGGTTAATCTGAGCCAGTTCTTTACAGCAGAAGTTTCTGTGTAAGAATCATACTCCTAATGAAGCCTCTTGATTAACGATTGCAGGGGTCAGGTTTTTTCCACTGTCAGGGTTCAGCCTTTTGAGCTCTGAGAGTACCACTTAATTCAGGAATGCACCTGAACCAAACTGCTCCTTGCAGCCCAAGTAAGACAAGAATGATCTGGGTAAGCAAACAGCCCCTCCAAGTACCATTGCAGCTGTCCTGGACCACAGGGCTGCTTTATGGTACTCCAGCCAGATGCTGTTATCCCCTGATACCTGACATCCCAAGGAGAGGGTGTCATCTCATCTCGGGCAGGGCATCACGCCCCCTAACATTCTCTACTGTGCAAAATGCTGCTAAGTCTACAATAAATAATCTTTCAGTGAGCCCAAATGCACACTCTGCTTTTTTCCCTTCTACTTTGAATTTATTTGTAGAGCCCCAGGGGTGTGCTTTGCAAAACACACAGAGAAGTTCGGTTCCTGTCCATCAGCCATGAGAATGGCTGGATCAAAGGTTTGGCAGGAGGCTGAAAACTTGGGTGCTGAAGCCTCCATGGCAGTTTCTTACCATGCTGTGCTACAAAGCACACAAATGAGCAGGAGCAGCAGTGTCTTGGACTGAAAGAAATTCCTGTTTTCTCAATACTGCATGGAAAAAAAAATCGCAGAGCATCTTTTTTTCCACCCTTGCTGGAGAGTGGTGCTCTCATCTTCCTTTCAGCAAACTCTCCTGATGAAAGCCTTCTTCTGCAGCATTTTCTTTGTGACCCTCAAGCTTCTCTTAACTATACACTTAAAATGTCCTCAGTCTGTCATCAGTCCTGTCCTTTTTTCCTAGCCCTGCCTGCAGATCTGCCCTGCTTATATATAGAAATAGTGACCAGGATTGAATATAGCTTCCCACACGGCGAGTGCATTACAGGAGAGTGTTCACTTGTGCCTCGGTTGCATGAAGCAAAGCCAAACCCAGGCCCTCCTGAAATAGCTCTCCCTTTTCCTCATCTTATTAAACAGCCCTTCTTTGCAAGAATTCTGCTCTCTGCTCATCCCGGGGCCGCGTGCCCTGCTGTTGCCCAAGCCATGCGGGGTGGCACTGATCTCCATCAGGAATCTCTTGCTCAACCCAGCCCCTGGTTGCATCACAGCACCCTCAGACAGGTTGCATGTGCACCCCTCTTGTTCTCTCACTTCCCAACGTTTCCTCAGTTCCCAGCAGAAATTCCTGCTAATTCTGAGTGATGGAGCCTTTTGCATTTTCAAGTGCCATCTTGTTTTGTTTTTTACATTCACTTGGCTGCTCTTCCTGCCTTCCTCTCTCATTGCCATCCACAGTGTTCCTGTCTTGTCTTATACTGCCTAATATTGTTGAAATTATACTTAATATTTGCATATGAGGTTTCATGCAGAGCTGGAGGAACTCTGTTCCTAAACCCCCAAGCCTGACACGTTCTTTTGCAATGCAACACGTTGCTGCTTTTACTCTGACCAGTTCCTGTGTTCCTTGTTTATTTTTGTAGCCTCAGCTGATGAAATTGTTCCTTCAGCACCCCAACATTTTGATTTGAGGGAAGCAGAGGTGTTCACTGCATTCCCACAGCCAGGGCCTTGCTGTTACATGCTGGGGGAGGAGGAAGGATCAATTTGAAACCGTATCATAAGTATTATTTTAAAACTGAGCTGCAGTAATGCAGTTGCATCAGAGCTTTCAGGGGGCTGCCAGAGTCTGCAGGGAAAATGGTCCTTCTGGAACTTCGTGGCATCATGTCCAGTCACCCCAGATTACTTCTGCAGCCCTGGGAGACAGGCTCTGGATTTCCTACACCCCATCCTGAGCAGCAGGGATATGGGTTCTCCATCCTGAGGAGCAGGGCTCTGGGGTTTCAGGGCTCTGGGGGTTCCCGGGACTCG